CACTGACTTTGGGTGACAGATCAAAGTCTTGTTCCGATTTCAAAAGTGGCCAACGTTAGAATATGATCTCGGCCAAGCTGCACGGAAAACCTGAGGCTCCGGTGAGAGCATTCCCACGGGTACGTGGAGGTAAAGGACCAAGATAAAACCTTCTCAAAAGTGATAATAAAAGATACCCACATCACCCAGGTGAGGGAAGGCTCCAGAACAGACTCTGGCATCAGTGATGGGAAGTCAAAATAAACAAAGCAGGTCAATAAATATGGAAACTAGGCAGAACGCTGGGACACCAGCTCACCCTAAAATGGACGGGAAGGGCAATATTCCACCGACTCTACCAAGACATACCATTATTTTATGTCTCTCCTTCATGAAAGCAACAATGCTCATTAGATACGACATTTTGCCTCTGGTTGCACCCAGTTTTAGAAATGTTAAAAAGTGACCATCTGTGTACACTGCAACTTGGGAACAGCAGAGGTGAGGCTCCCCCCTAACTGCATTAAGGACAGGAAATCTGTCAGGCCTCAGGACAGGCACAGTGTGTGGGAACATCCTACATTCCTGCCAGTCCCTGCTACCGGCCAACAAGCAGGAAACTGAGCAGGATGAAAAATGAAGCTGTCTTTAACATGAAGTTCACTGAGAAACGTAATGGCATGGGAAATGCTTGTGATGTGATGTTAACAACAAAGTGACACAGAGAATTGAATCACATATGCAAAAAAGTACTACCCCCTCAAAAAAGGGGATTTTTAAAAAGCACTTCAAATGCTAATGTTCTTTCAAGATCCTGGAATTACAGGTAATTTCTTTCTCTGCTTCCTCGTATTTCTCTTCCATGAAATTTCCATAATCAGCAAAAATGTTTTTTTTTTTATAATCAAAACTAAGAAGATCAAGTATTAAACATTTTAATTTGCAAACTGTGGGCCTTGGGCAGACACTGGTTTATTTCATTATTAGATACACAGCAATCTCATTAAGGTACAAGAAGCCCTCCTTAACAATGGAACGATGGTGCTCCAATAATGATGTCAAGTCACAGCGCCCTAACAGCCACAGAAAAAAGGCTAATGTTTCCTGTGTATATCCAACAACGCGTAATGCAGGTAATTATTTTTATCTTTTTTTTCCTTTTTAAAGATGAGGTTTCAAGAACATCATTGTTATTGCTTAAACACGGGAAAGGATTAAGTGCCTCAGTTTCCTACTGCATCTTGACCTTGGCATCATAATGTACCCGCAGAAACACATCTGGTCACATTGCTGATAAAAAGTCTCCTGCTAACGCTAGGCAGTGCTGTCTCATGGAAGATGGATTTCTCTCTTTATGAAGAAGGACCGCTTGATAAGCAGCTGTCGTGGTCAGAAATGGAAGCCGACACTTTTTTGCTCTGTTATCTTGACGGAATTGTTTTTGAGCTCCCACATACTCAAGTACCAATATATTTTTCCCTCATATTGAAAACAAACAATTTTGACAAAGGATAAAGATCTGGAAATATAAATATTATACTTGCCAAGATTAAAAAACAAAGTAGGCTACCTTCTCCTCTGGGTAGCACTAGCAAATAAATAGGCTGAAAGTCTTGGGATAAATCAAATTTCTTAATTGTTTATAAAGTTCAACAAATACCCTGTCTGCAAACACATTTCCTGTAGTAGGTATATTAAAAGCCTTTTAAAAAGTAAGAGAAGATAACAGAATGAATGTTCTAATTAAAATATCTGAAATAACACTTTTACTTAAAAAAATCAGATTTAGTGATACTATGCCTGTAGCTAATACGGTTACAACATATCTGTTTAATGTAAACATTTTTTACTCACATGTAAAAAGTATACTTATTTATGGGGTACCTTGTGATATTTCTATACACTGTATAATGCCCAAACAGTATAAGCATTACCTATCTCTTCATTTAACATTTCTTTGCAAGATCCTTTCTTCTAGTTTTTTTTTTCTTTTTAAAGAGAAACATACAGCACATGAGCATTATCTATAGTTTCCCTTTCGTACAACAGAACACCAGCACTTCTGACTCCTATTTAACTACAAATTAACACCTGTTAATCTTTTCTCACCCTCCCCCCCACTCTCCCTGGCCTCTGGTAACCACCATCGTACGTGTAACTTCTATGAGATCAACTTTTTTAGGCTCCACATTTGAGTGAGATTATGTGGTACTTGTTCTGTGATTGGCTACTTTAATATAACAAGCTCCTGTTCCATCCATGTTGTCACAATGACAAGAGTTCATCTTTTTTTTTTTTTTTTTTTTTTGACAGGCAGAGTGGACAGTGAGAGAGAGAGACAGAGAGAAAGGTCTTCCTTTTGCCGTTGGTTCACCCTCCAACGGCCGCCGCGGCTGGCGCGCTGCGGCCGGTGCACCGCGCTGATCCGAAGGCAGGAGCCAGGTGCTTCTCCTGGTCTCCCATGCGGGTGCAGGGCCCCAGGACTTGGGCCATCCTCCACTGCACTCCTGGGCCACAGCAGAGAGCTGGCCTGGAAGAGGGGCAACCAGGACAGAATCGGGCGCCCCCACCGGGACTAGAACCCGGTGTGCCGGTGCCGCAAGGCGGAGGATTAGCCTATTGAGCCGCGGCGCCAGCCCAGAGTTCATCATTTTTTATGCTGAGTCATATTCTATTCCATTGTGTACCGCATTTTCTTTATCCAGACATCAGCTGATGGACCCTAGGTTTTCTCCATTTCCTGGCTATTGTGCATGTTTAACTTCCGAGTGTTAAGCAGCAGTAAGACAATCGTTTCTGGATAGCATTTACCATACCTTATGATACCAGATAGAAATAACAGCTTAAGTTAAAGAAAATCTTATAAGAGCAGCTTCCAGCCACAGATCATCTTTTTTAAATGGCAACATAAACAATACAAGAATGAGAAACATAAACTCTAATTGCTACAAAATGCTTAGAAAGCAATTGCCCTAATGTGTGGGCAAACGGTTGAAATAGCCCAAGGAAATGTTTCTAACTAGAATTACATGGAGATAATCAAAGATGTCTAGTCCCAGATAAAATACTGTGGAACTGTAAGTCACTGTATTACTGCCAACAGGTCAAGCCTGAAGCAATCATAACTGAATTGCACATCTAAAGGGTAGTAATTTCAAGGTAACAGTTCATTCATGGTAAAGTTTGGCCAAAGAATAAAAGTAATATTAAGCTATTTTACTAATGCCTGCTTGTCACCTTCCACATTCTGACTTGGAACACAGCCCACATTCCAAGCTTGGATGTGCCTGGTGTTGCCAGCTCTTACTATTTACCCCATCTAAATCCATTCTGATTTTTATGCTGTGCAGCTCTTGTTTTAGCAACAGGTGAAGATGATAGGGCTGAAGCTAACGTCAAAGACCACTAATTTTAGGAACCCAGGAAGTGCTCAGACTGCCAACTTTATGAATAACCCAAGAGAGTTAGGAACCGAAGTATGCCTTTTTCATCTCTTAAGTCAAGCCAAGGTTTTAACAGCCCTCCAAAGGCACTGATTTAGCTTCTCAAGCACACGGTATAAAAACTTATTCAGTCAGGAAAATGCATGTGGTACACGACACAGATCTATTGGGTTGCCACTTGTTCATTCTTTTATGAACCATTTATCAAATGCAACAAAACGTGCTGTGCCAGCTGCTACGTGGAATTCAGAGGAAAGTACGGAATCCAGTCAGAAAGAGAGCGGCTAGCATCAAACAGAAGAACAAAGGTTTTTATCAATGGAAAACCGAGGAAGAAGAAGAGGGCAGCTAATTACAACTGGGACAGGTTTTACAGTAGAGATAACAACGAAGTTGAGTTTATAAGGAGCACAGAGTTTCTGTTACGTCAAAGAAGGGACACCCCAAGATCCAAAGATACAGCAAGCAGACTCAGAGAAGAGAAAGTGCTAGGTACAAAAGGCAGACAAATGACATAAGCAGGGGAGAATGGCCCTCCTGGGCAACAGAGCCAACAAAGAGGCTAGGGCCAGATGGTGAAAGGGTTAGGAGTCGGAGTGCTGGGCCTTAGGAAGAAAGGGAGAGTTTCTGGAACAGTGACTCCCACATCTGGCTGCACATCAAATGCCGCCTGGGATGTCTGACAAGCAGACTCCCAGATGGCACCAGGAGCAGAAAACTAACTGCCGAAGCTGCTGTGGTGACTCTCATTATCAGTCAGATTGGGTACAGGCGGAAGAACCTCTTAGAAAGGTGAAAGGATCTGACCTCTACTACAGCAGTCTAGGAAGAGACGCAGCAGTAGACAGGGCAGAGGCAAAGAGGAAAGAGGAAAGGCTACAGAGAGGAACCAGAGGTCACCTTGGGTATCGAAGAGCAGGACGGTAGCTGCACCGGGCGGGGCGGGGGGAGGCGGGGGGAATTATTTTCTGCCAAGGGACAGCTGGGTATTTGTAACATCATCGTGCGCCATACAAAATCACCAGCTTAAAAATTAGCCTGCTATAGACTTACTGAATTGGAGTCCCACCCACGGTTGCTTTGGCAAGGGCCAGCCCACATGAGTTCCATACGGCCTGCAGGCTGGATGTTCCCAACCCCTGCTAAGGGAACACACAAGGAGAGACGACTGTTTGCAGGTAAAGACATTAAATTTGGACATGCTGAGACTGGGTTACTTATGGGCTAGGAAACTGGTTTATAGATATACAGGGGAATTAACTTGCATATTTAAGCACACAGTTTGCTGATCTCTTCTAGCTTTGCTAGACACTTCTACCTCACCAAGTTTCATCACTTACCTTCGGAAGTCTGTTTACACTTCTCTCACTACGAGGGGCAAATGATATCACTGTACTGCAAAAATTAAAATACTGAATAATAAACATTCAAGGTTTCTCAAAGAGAAAGGCTAAAACATTGAAGATTTTTAGTCTCTTTTCTAAAAATTTTAAAGTGAAAAAGAAGAAAAAATACTCTCAGTTTTTTTTTTTTTCTTCCTTCTTTCTTGCTTCATGTTTAAGATGTCATAATTCTTACCTTTGTTGCTAAGGCTTTTAAACTGTCAAGGAATCTTTGCCAGAAATCCTTAAAGAGTGGGCGATCAATTTTCTTCAGGCTATCTTTGGTGCTAGCATCCACACTGACATACAGCTGAGTAACTGGCTTGAGGTTTCTTGATAATTATTTTTTAAAAAGAAAAAGAAGGAGAAAACAAGAAAGAAAAATAAGATTATGTCTGCAGCAGGCTGCCCAGGATAGAAAACTTAAAGTTTGTAACAACGTGGTAATTAAACATTTCACTGGGTCTACAGGCTTGCACTTCTCCCAGGAGACTGAAGCAATGATTTTAATAATTTGACAAAATGGGATGTCTACTGGTTATTTTAAAAATGACTAGCCTCATCCCTAATAAATTGAAACCATTTAATTACTTAAAATTAGTCCCTCTTTAAACACTAGGTTTTCATGGGAGACAAACAAAACAAGCACTAATTTTAAGTCTGGCAGCATTATCCCAGCACAATGAGGGGTGCTCTCAGGCCTAACGTTCCCCGTAACTCTGCCGCTCAAACAGCTGAGACTTCACACTGACGTGGGGTCTGTGATGAGTGAGCCATCTCCTGCCATCAACTCACTGATAGAAGGCTGCCAAGGAACAAGGCCCTACCTCCAAAGCTCCAGCCTTCTTTAAAGGGCACAGGGCCACACATATGCCTCGGAAAGTGGGAGTGGGTTTAAAGCCAGGCCTTGGGGGCACCGATGATGATCTCTTTCAGCGGTGCAGAGTCCGAGCAGCAACCTCGCGTTCACAAAGGAGCCCCTCCCAGAAGAAAGCTCAGGCCACGGGGCCTTGCTTGTCTTTGCCTTCTCTCAGTTTCCGTGAACGCCACTCACTCCACACTTCTCTCAAATTCTCCTTTCATAATCTCATTCCTGGACTTCTTGCAAATTATGCCTTAAACCTAGACTGTACTTCTTCCAAAAACCCTCTACTTTTCCCTTTCAAATGCGTTTCGTAAATCATTCTCTTCAGTGAATTTAGAACAAGAACAAAAAAGGGAGAAAAGTCTCCCCTAATGATCTTACAGATTCCTCCACTGTGACTTCGCTCTAACTATTCCACAATGTATTCCACACCGACCTCTAGAATATTATTTATGGACATTTTTGTTTCAAAGTCCTTGAACTTCTAAAAACAGAGCTCTAATACACGTGCCATAAAACTCATCACTTTCGAGTGTTTTATGTGCTGTTTTTATATCTGTCAGTATCAGTCTTATTAATCTTTGAGTGTAGGACTTTGAAGGACAGAAACCATACTTTTCTTCTTTATCCAGACACACAGGCGGATTCCTAAAGCTAACTTTTAGTGAAAGTTGTTGAATTTAGTGGACAGTTTTTAAGAGAGTGCAGGCTAAACAAACGCTTACAGTGATCTGGCATAGTGACATATAAAAAAAAGTCAGAAGTGTCTAGACCTAAAGTTACTGAAAGTGAAGATGCTGTTGGGGCCAGCGTTGTGGTGTTGTGGGTAAAGCTACTGCCTGGGGTGCTGATGTCCCATACGGGTACTGGTTCGAGTTCTGGTTGCTACACTTCTGATCCAGCTCCCTGCTAATGGCCTGGGAAAAGTGAGAAAGATGGTCTAAATACCTGGGCCTCTGCCACCTACATGGGAGACCCAAATAAAGCTCCTGGCTCCTGACTGCAGCCTGGCTCAGCCCTGACCACTGCAGCCACTTGGGGAGTGAACCAGCAGATGGAAGGCCCCTCTCTATCTCACCCCATTTCTCTTCATTATTATTACTATTATTTTATTTTATTGTACATCACAGCATCAGCCCCAAGACTTATTTATTTATTTGAAAGGCAGAGTTAGAGAGAGGCAGAAGCAGAGAGAGAAGGGGGACCCTCCATCCTCCGGTTCACTGCCGCTGTGGTCCTTCCAGTGCCTTATCAGCACAGTGTTAACAGTCGAAGGAGCCCCCTTGGTGGCTGGGAAGACTCCCCTGGGAAGGCCCCAGGGCTGGGACCCTCCCTACACGACATGGGCAAGGCTTTGATGTGTAGATGCTGGGCTGCTTTCCAGGCCTGCTTCTAAGGGTTTCGATGTTCCTCCCCTAATGAGGTCAAAGGCAACCACGAGAACTTCCTGTTTTCCCCCTCACTTTGGTCCTTCTGGAACACACACAGGCTGGGGTCTACCCTCCTTCTGGAACACACACAGGCTGGGGTCTACCCTCCTTCTGGAACACACACAGGCTGGTGTCTACCCTCCTTCTGGCACACACACAGGCTGTGTCTACCCTCCTTCTGGAAAACACACACAGGCTGGGGTCTACCCTCCTTCTGGAACACACAGACAGGCTGGGGTCTACCCTCCTTCTGGAACACACACAGGCTGGTTAGGGTTAGGGTTAGGGAAAGGGTTAGGGTTAGGGTTAGGGTCTACCCTCCTTCTGGAACACGCACAGGCTGGGGTCTACCCTCCTTCTGGAACACACACAGGCTGGGGTCTACCCTCCTTCTGGAACACACACAGGCTGGGGTCTACCCTCCTTCTGGAACACACACAGGCTGGGGTCTACCCTCCTTCTGGAACACACACAGGCTGTGTCTACCCTCCTTCTGGAACACACACAGGCTGGGGTCTACCCTCCTTCTGGAACACACACAGGCTGGTGTCTACCCTCCTTCTGGAACACACACAAGCTGGTGTCCACCCTCCTTCTGGAACACGCACAGGCTGGGGTCTACCCTCCTTCTGGAACACACACAGGCTGGTGTCTACCCTCCGACCAAACAGTTACAAACATCTTCAGAGACAGCGTGTGCTGGGAAGAAGACCACTGGATAATTTTAGGAAGGAATAGACAAACAATGTATAGATAAGAACAAGGGGTTGAACAAATTTCCTCCAGGTGGCCAGACCCTATGTGCACCTCGCCCAAGTCAGATGGACTGGTGGACGATCATAGCTCTGTCCAGTGCTCCTCAGGTCTCAGCAAGTGTTTCTGTATTCATGAATAGGGTGTAGGATTTTTAGGGACAGTTTGTTCTCATTGGGTACACAGTTCATTCGTTGGCTTGTTCCTTCCCTCCCTCCCTCTCCCTTTCTCCGTCTTTCTTTTTAAAGATTTATTTATTTACTTGAAAGGCAGAGTTACAGAGGGGTAGGGAGAGGGGGGAGAGGGAGAGAGACATGAGGGAGAGAGAGGGAGAGAGAGGGAGAGAGAGGGAGAGAGAGGGAGAGAGAGGGAGAGAGAGAGAGAGAGAGTCTTCCATCTGCTGGTTCACTCCCCAAATGTTCGCAACTGCCAGAGCTGGGCCAGTCCGAAGCCAGGAGCCTGGAGCTTCATCTGGGTTTCCCATGTGGACGCAGGGGCCCAAGGACTTCGGCCATCCTCTGCTGCTTTCCCAGGCTATAGCAGAGAGCTGGATCAGAAGTGGAGCAGCCAGGACTCAAACCGGCACATGTGTGGGATGCTGGCACTGCAGGTGGTGGCTTTACCCACTATGTGACAGGGCTGGCCTCCTCTTCTCTTTAACTCTTTCAAATAAATAAATAAATCTTTGGAGGGGGAAAAAAGTGATGATGTTCTGACCAGAGACAGGAAAGAGATAGTTAAAATATTTGCCACAAGGTGGGTGCTGTGGCTCAGTCAGGCTGCCAATATTCCATATCAGAGTAGTTAAGTCCTAGCTACTCTGAGTTTCCAGTTCAGTTCCTTGTTAATGTACCTGGGAGGCAGCAGATTACGGTCCAAGTACTTGGGCCCCTGCCACCCAAATGGAAGACCCAGCCAATGCTGGCTTTGGCTTGGCCTAGCCCTGGTTGTTGCGGGCAATTAAGGAGTAAACCAGCAGACAGAAGAATCAATCAATCAATCTCTCTCTCTTTCTCCCTCCCTCCCACCCTTTCTGTTACTCTTGCAAATAAATCAATAAATCTTTAAAAAGGAGATACCTGGCAGACTCTCGTTGCCTGCATTCCTATGCAATACTGATACCCAAAGGGAATTTTTTTTTTTTTTTTTTTTGACAGACAGAGTCTGTCAGTTAACTTGGTGGCCAGCTAATGACTGGACAGAGATAACCTTAAATTCCCTCAACCAGTATTCTCCTAGCTTTTGGGCAGGTAGTTTACCACTAAGCCTTCGTTTTTACTGCCTGCTTGCTCAGGACAAGAGGTGAGAGGTGAGGGGTGAGGGGTGAGGGGTTTCTCCAGTCTTCCTTGACATGCGCACAGCCCAGCTCATGGATGTAGTATTTCAGATTCCCAGGAATATGCTGGAGCTTAACAATGTCCCCAGTGGACAACTCAGTCCTAGTACTTTCTTTGTGATTTTTTTGCTCAGCATGTTTGCAACAACTTTTTTTTTTTTTTTTTTTTTTTATTTTTTTTTTGGACAGGTAGAGTGGACAGTGAGAGAGAGAGACAGAGAAAAAGGTCTTCCTTTGCCGTTGGTTCACCCTCCAATGGCCGCCACGGCTGGCACACTGCGGCCGGCGCACTGTGCTGATCCGATGGCAGGAGCCAGGTGCTTCTCCTGGTCTCCCATGGGGTGCAGGGCCCAAGCACTTGGGCCATCCTCCACTGCACTCCCAGGCCACAGCAGAGAGCTGGCCTGGAAGAGGGGCAACCGGGACAGAATCCGGCGCCCCGACCGGGACTAGAACCCAGTGTGCCGGCGCCGCTAGGTGGAGGATTAGCCTAGTGAGCCATGGCGCCGGCCTGCACCAACTTCTATTGCCACCTCAGACAGCTGTGAAAGTAAACAATTGTCTACAATTGTTTAAGAGATAAACCCCCAGATAAAGGCGTTTTACAACAGACAAACAGGAGTCATTTCAAATACAGACAACCTGACCTGAAGTGAAAAGTCTGCTTGTGAGAGAATGTCTCCAGGGAACTGCTACACAAGCCTTGCAGACAACGACAATTTTCTGGGAGTGGGACTTTGCAGGAGTTCCACCTCTGCTACTCCCTCTCCCCAAGGCTTCCGGGAAGCTGGGTTCTACTGTGAACGAGGGCTAATGGTTTTCAAGGCTACAGCAAGAATGGGGGAAGTCAGAATGGAACAGAACATGTTAGCATCACAAACCTTGCAGTTCTGATATTTAGCCATGGTTTTGGTTAATTTTTCTAGGTAAGAAAAAGTGGATTCTAGG